AACTTACCAACTCATACAGCAGACTTATTTGCCCACCTTTTACCATGATGACTATTATTTCATAGTGCCTAGAAATGTAGTAGGTGCAGCACAGAAGATGTGTAATCAGACACTGTCCCTGCCCCAAGAAAGTTTACAATTTAGACCTTAAGTGTGAGGACACATTAGAGTAGAGAGGATTGGGGGAGGGATAGAGCTGCATGATCGCATCGTTACTTAGGTTAATTGACTGGTATGTGCATATCTTGCTGGATCTATTCAGTGTTTAAACCTAGCTCTTACATTGTCTTTGAACAGTAAGTACTTGACCAAGTAGGCCAGTATTATTATCTCCATTTTACAGGAATGGAAGTTGAGGTACAGAGCGGTAATGTGGCTTGCCCCTGGTCACCCAGCAGGCCACTGGCAGAGCTGGGGGTGTGGGGAACAAGTCTCCTCTGTCCCAGGCCAGTGCCTTATCCACTAGACCCACTGCCTCCAAGTAGAAACAATAAAGATCTGAGAGAGAAAATGTTTCTAACTCCACTGTGTTAGATATCCTGGCAGAAATGAGTTTTCAGAAGGCATTTCAAGGCCTGATCCAGCAGGGTGATGAGCACCTCTCAGGATCAGGCTCGAAGGGTCTTATCCAAAACCCAATGAACTCAGTGGGAGTCTTTCCATCAACTGCAATGGCTTTGGTGATGGTGGTTGGTCTGGAGTAGGGATGGTATTCCATGGTACTGAGAAAACTTGAGGCTTGGTTTACTTGCCCACCAAAAACACATCAGTAAACAAGACCCCTCCCTGGGTGAGTCGTATAGTTGGTAAGGTTGGCTTAGTCCAAATGTTTTAATGTGTATATACTGTAACATGTTTGACGCCTCCAGAGTAATACTCGCCATTGGCACAATCCATAGCCGTGGTCAAAAGCATGTTTGTGGATTCAGGGAGGATGAGTAACGAGCATGGCAAATGGGTTGTTGACTATGTGGATCCACAGGCCAATACTCACATGTGATCGTAGGAGCCCTACAAGCATAGATAATGCTACAGCCTGGCTTTGCAGAGATCACGATCCTCTCTTGTGTGTCCTCATTTTTATTTGAACTCATGAGTTGTCCTTTCAATAATCAGGAGGCTCACCCGCACTGCCTAACCTCTTGCCTGTTCTGAATGGAAGAGCTCTTCTTTCCACAGCTGTTTTTTCGCGTGGACTGGTTGTGGGAAGATGGCAGCATGATAGTCAAAGCTGTGGGTCAGTCGCTGAAGAAGTGTTAATTCTGGGCTGTTTTGTGGCAAACGTACATCCTTGATACTGCTGTTGCTCTTACCTAAAAGAGTCACGAGCATCAGTGAAGCATCTCACAAAGTGATGAGCAAATGGAAGAGAAATCATCCGGAAGGCAAGCCTCCAAGCTCTGCATCTTTTGCACATTATTAAACACCTGCCTCCCTAAAGATCATGTGTATGGCAGGGGATGTACTAAGACAGCTACAGCTCAGCTCACTCCGAAGAACAGCAGTGAAGAGATCTCTTCCATTCAGTAGATGACATGCCACCGTGAACGTTCACTGGGGCATGAAAACACGTCTACATTTTCTCATTCGATAGAATAAACATTTATTTCTATTGCAAATTTTGGGGGGCAAGGTCATGTGTTTGTACAGCACCTTGCACAATGGGGACCTGGTCCATGAGGGGGCTTCTAGGCTCTATGGCAATATATATAATGATAATTAAAATCTAACAGGCAAAATTGTCCTCTTGCAGCTTCACTGCAGATCTCTGATCCACGTGATTCCTTCTGCCATTGCCTGCGCACGTGCCCTAAAAACTTGCTTTCTGAGTTCATGCTAGGAATGTTCATGGGAAGTGAACATGAATGTGGCCAAAGCCCATTCTCTCCAAGGTTCAGCGGAATATCAATGGGAAATTTTTCTGCATTTACCCAGGTCTGCGTTAACTGCTTTTTCATGCCCCCTTAAAGGCCACAGTGGAGCATTTAATAGCCATAGCAAATAGCGTAGGCTGCAATGTTGCAGGTGCTATTCCTGTTCTGCACAAATGAGAAACAGTTGAATGCAACCCTCAGCCAAATGAAAAACCCTTTTCATGAGGGTTTGGCACATTCATGTTGCCACTTCTTCTGGCTTTCCAGAGGTGTCATACTTGGTGCAGGCCTAAGATAATTGAGGGTGTTTTTGTTTTTTCTTTTAGATACTCTTATCACTTAGCCTTTCTTTACAGCACAGCAGACGCTTCTCAGACAATGCGCTTTCCTCTAACACTCTGATCATACGCTTTTCTACTAATACACATTCTTAAGTCCCTTGATTCGCTCCTAAATTCTCTCCCCTCCTCTATTGGTCTCTCTGCCTGCAAAGAGCAATGGGGATTTACAAGTGAAATGTTCATGAGCAGGTCTGTCAAATGAATAAGGGAGGGAGAGATCTCTATAGAGACTGGGCTCATAAGAAGTAAATTTTAAGTTACATGGTCCTTTCACTCCTGAAGCCCATTTCTGTATGTAGGACATGATCCTGCAGCCCTACTCTCCTGAGCATATGGGTTGGTCTGCACACAGAAATGAAATTGACTTAATTAAATCAATTTCAAAATCAGTGTAGTTAAATAGATTAATAGATAAGGCCACTGTTGCAATGGGAGTTCATGTTCAGCTGATTGTCTGCCTGCCTGCCTGCTATGTCCCGCAAGTCTGAGTTAACTGCTCCCAGGATAGAGTCCCCTGTCCTGTAAGTGTGTCCTATGTTCTTTGTTCATAGATGTGATTTTTTTTTTTAAAAGAAATTTCTGGTAGCCATATTAACATGTATATTGCTTGTTTGCACCCATCTTACCAAATGATCCAGATTGCTGTTTCAGTGACCTGGCCTCTTCTTTATTTACTACTCCCCGACTTTGTGTCATCTGGAAACTTTATCACTAATGATGTTTCGTTTTCTTTCAGGTCCTTGATTAAAAATGTTAAACAGTATAGGGCCAAGAACCAATCCTGATGAGACCCCATTGAAAAAGCACCCGCCCCGTGATGATTCCCTATTTACAATTACATTTTTGAGACCCATCAGTTAGCTATTTAATGTGTAATTTTTGTATTCTAGTTTTTTAATCAGAATATTGTGTGGTACCAAATCCAATACCTTGCAGAAGGCTGTGTGTTACATCCACACTATTACCTTTGTCAACCAAACTAGTAATCTGTTTTTGTTTTGTTTTGTTTTTTTAAAGTTGATTTGACAAGTCAAAGAGGAATCTAGATGCTCTTGAAAATCCCCATGAGGTTCCTGTCTGCATCTTTAAGCACCTAAATACCTTTTAAAAATCTGACCTCTGATCTTGTGTTTATTGGGAGAATTCTGAACCCCCACTCGTCTGAAAATCAGACCTCTCTTTTAAGGTGTCTCAAGGCAGCGGGGGCAGGGAATCAAAATTGAGGAACCTAAAAATCTTTTCACGTTCTGATTGAAAACCTTGGTCAGAGCTTCATGCCGCAAAATTTGCCCTGCTGTGCTGTAGACCATGGCCTCTCTTCAGTCTGATTGAGGTGTGTGCATCCCTCTATTGATTTGTGTGCGTGGGTGTTGTTTAAAATGACCTTGATTTTTCTTTTTTTGTTTGCTTTGATTTTTGGGGGGGGGGCAAGGTGGGGTGGGGGTTGGCTTTTTTGGAGGGGGGTTGTTTTGTTTTTTGTCTTGTTTGTGGGTGAAAGAGTGTGCCGGTACATAGCACTGGAGCCTCTCTTGAGTAATTGATCTGTTACCAAAGCTGAAGCATTTCCCCTCACCCAAGCGATTTAGGGCCAGAATTTTCAGAAAGGCTTAGTACTCACATCCGGGGCCAGATTTTCCAAAGTGCTCAACCCCCCAGCGCCTCCTGTTGTGACATTTAACAGCCCAGGTTTTGCCCCCATTGTGCGAAGCACTAGTGAAAATCTACTCTCTTATTCTGGTGTCTGAATGGGAGCTGAGTTCTTATGAAAATCTGGCCTCAGTTGTGACTGAGCCCTTCTGAAAATTCTGGCCTTAAAGGGCCAGTGCTTTAGTGTTCTTTAGCCAGAGGCATTCCTCCCATCTCCATAGTACACAGCCCTGCGTTGGGGTGTCACTTGGTATCCACATCTACTTTCTGTCCTCTAAGAGAGGTTTTGAAGCATAAAATCTGATGGTGGAGCCGGCTTTGAGACTTGGCTTGTAAAACCTGGGTCTATTTCCAATGTCCTAGTGCTACTTATATAGGGAATAGCCTGGATTTTGTATTTTCTAACCCTGCTCCTGGTTTCTACACAGAGAGGGAAAAGGAAGGGAAATAGATCTGGCTACTTCACCATGGAGGGAGATGATTTCATTTGAAATTGACATATCTCTACCCCAATCCCCCAAGTACTTCTGTAACAGGGTCCCAGGGTTAGGATCGTGTGGGGTGGAAATTCCTGAGGAGCACAACCTCCAGAGAACAGCTCACCAGGCCAGCAGAAGGGAGGGATGGTATTGTGGATGGATCTTTTACAGTCTAATTACAATCCCACCAAGGAGTTGAGATTTTCTTGGACTTGGACTTCTCTGGCCCTGGTGCAGCAGTGGGAAGAGAACATTAGCATTAAGAAATGGGGGCGGGATTGCCAGTGAAACGAAACCAATCCCCATTTGGAAAAAGCACTGGGAAAGCCAGGCTAAAAGGCACTGGATGCAAAGAGCAGCAGAAGTTGTAGCAGAAATTGGTTTTACGCGGGGGGGGGGCAGATGCTCAGATAATGCCCGAGGAGCTGCAGCCCCTGAGTAAGGGATGTAGTTTTAAGGCGAGTGGTTTGGGTTTTTTTTGTTTTTGCTTTGTGTTTTTTGTTTTTTTTCCAGTGAAGTGGTTTGCCTCTGCAGTGCTGGGATCCCACAGTCCAAAGCACACCCTGCTTCCTGTTTTTGAGTAGCTACCCACTGGAAAACAAGGAAGAATAAAGAGTCAAACAATTGGCGATCCGTTTCAAAACTTGTTTATTGAGATCCTATTTCACCAGGGCAAATAGCGCGGGGTTGTTTATCATTTTAAGACTCCTTTGGTTGGCGTAAGCTCTGAGGCATTCGGCCCATTGGCTCGCTCCGGTATTGTATACGTAGATCATGCCACAAAACTTAAAATAATACAGGGCGACCAACCATTTGAAAACCAGCGCCGAGTCTAATCGATAGCTAAGGGAAAGGGATCGGTGTGTAATTATGCAGCCTAGAATCCGAGCCTTTCAATTCATCAGCAAACTAGGTAGGGAGCAGACCAGGCTTCAGGAGGGCCCAGAGATGGTGAAATAGAGACGGGAACACGTTGCCATGTTAGGTATAAACGGATCTCGGGCAGGTGGGAAAAGGGCAGGGGTGTTTTATTCATGAAATGTCGCCAGGATCGCCTCTGCCCAGCTGCGTATTTCATAACTGTGCAATCCCAGAAGAAATCCAGGGAACGTGCAGCTTGGGCCAGGAGGCCTCGCTAGACCCCACTGGGGGAGACTAGATCTCCTGGGGGGGGGGGGTGTTTTAACAAACCTTTTGAACTTGCTTGTTGCTCGGCTAACTACTCCCTTGCTTCAGGAGATCACAGCCCAATGATCTGTGTGAACGCTGCTGTTTCCACTTAGAACACGCGGCGAGGACCAGATGGATTCGTTGGGTTCCTACTAACGTACCTTAAGCCCAGTGTTTTCTCCCAAATCCTCTGCCACTGGAAAGAAAAGATTTACCCCTCCTCCCGCCCCCAGCGCGCCTTTCTCCTACCTGCTGAACGAACGCGACGAGCTGCACCCAGTGCAGTTAGTTGTATTTGGGCTGAAGGAGGACGGGTAAACTGGACTGCAGGCAAAACAAACCAAATTGTCCTTGTGGATTTAAAACTTCAGTGGATTCTCTAGCTTTTTTCCCTCCCCACCCAGGCTCGAGCATTTTTTAAGAGCTCCTTTGCTTCCGGGAGTCCAGAATAAACCGAATTCCTAGTTTGTCACTTTTCCATTCCCTCTTTCGATTGTTTCCTATTTCGTATGATTTAATCCTTTCCCGAGATCGTTTTAAAAAATAACCCGAACCGAGTACATTTTACAAATCCCTGGAGGGACCGAGGGAAAAAAGGGAAATGAAAATCTCTTTACCTGGGACGGGAAACTAAACTGAGTTTTCCACCCCCGCCACGAACTGTCGTGAAACAAGAAATCTTAATTCGTTTCAAGATCAATACATTTAAAATCATAGCTCGAAGCGTTGATTTTTGTTTTTAAAATAGCAGTTGGTTAATGCCGGGGGGAAAAAAGCATTTTCTTTACCAGCATTTCTGAGTGCAAAATATTTCCTGCGTTGAAATGCAAAATAATTAAAAAAAAAACAAAACCCACGGATTAAAATAAATACAGCGTTTTTTTTAAATGTCTAAATTAATTCGATCGTTTTTTTAAAAAACAAACACACAATTTAAACACTAGTTTGCGTTCATTGTTTTATTTTCATATCAATCGTGCTTTTAAAGTGTCGGTCTGTTTCAAAATTCTTTTGCAGATACAAACCCCCAAAGGAATGCTCCCCAGATATTTTACCAAATGCCCCTTTTTTTATATACAAACCGATTTCTTTGTTTTAGACACACGCAACCTCAGACAAACATCCGATGGCTAGACAGACAGACGGCTACCACTGGACTCATCCTGTGTTTTTTTTTCTCCCCTCTCGGCTTCAGCAACGACACTCGTAATAATCCCAGTGACTAAAATCTGCGCAGGTGAAGACCTAATATACACGAATATAAACCACTCCCTTTGGTTTTTTCTCTTCCTCTGGGTTTTTAAAGTTCTTATTTCTAACCCCTACATTTGATTCCTCTTCCAGTATCCCCATGAAAGGACGTGAGAAGGGAAAGTCCTGCTCTGCAGAAGGAGACAGTGGGTTTGGTCTGCTTGCGCTTTTTCTTTTTAATGCAAACGCTTCGATGTTGTTTCTGTTAACAAGCTCCGACCCTCCCTCAGACACCAAATCCACATGAAAATACCAATGAAACCGAAAAGCCAAATGCAATCTTCCCCCTTGATTTTAATGGGTATATTTTGCAGACTCCCTTTCATCTGGGTTTCTTTCACAATCTGACCTGCCACCCCGCACCACGCCACCACTCTCCCATCTCACCTTTCCTGGGGCAGGTAAAGAGCTCAGTTGAGAGGCTGGGGCTTTGGGTTGTTTTAAAGAGCTTTGAGTTGTTTTGATCGAATTTACCTAATTCCTCCTCCTGGCCTCCCAAGCCGCAGCGCTGCTGCAGAAGCCTGGAGCTGGTGCACTTGGGGCTGGCTGCCTCCTTGCCCAACAAGTCCAAAGTTCAGCTAAAGTTTGGCTGATAAAAACAGAACCAATCAAAAGGTTTCAGCCACCCCTATAAACACAACGAACTCCGTCAAACCCAGGCCCAGAGCAGCAGCTCTTCTTTTCTCTCCCCCCCCCAAACCTTTTACCCACTAGCCCCCTTTCCATTTGCATCCTGCAGGAATGACTCTCCCTTCCCACTGATTTGCATATCTTATATTGCCTAATGGAGGAGATCATGGCAAGGTAGAGGTCTGCAGAGCCCTCTCAAAGGAGATTCACCAGGGCACGGAGGAGGAGCAGGTGTCTGGGGCTCACGGGGGGAATCCAAGACTTTGGGGTGTTTTTTAACTTACCTTCCCTCCCCCCACCCCACCCCTACCCTACCCCCCCCCCTCTCTCTCTCTCTCTCCCCTCCTGGTAAAATGGTGTCCAAGCTCAGCTCTCTGCAGCAGGAACTTCTGAGCGCTCTTCTCAGCTCCGGAGCCACCAAGGAGGCGTTGATCCAAGCCCTGGACGACATGGTGCCCACCACCAGCTTCGGGGTGAAGCTGGAAAACCTGCCCCTGTCCCCAGGCAGCGGGACGGAGGCGGACAGCAAGCCCGTCTTCCACACCCTCACCAACGGCCACAGCAAGGGCAAGCTGTCCGGGGACGAGGGCTCCGAGGACGGGGACGACTTCGACACCCCGCAGATCCTCCGGGAGTTGCAGGCGCTCAACACGGAGGAGGCCGTAGAGCAAAGAGCGGAGGTGGATCGGATGATCAGGTACAAACGGGGCTCCCTCTTCCCCCCCCCATATGCCTGCTGCCAGAGGCCCAGGTGGGATGTAGTCCCCTTGCATTTCTGCCCCCTCCCCGGACTCTTAAACCCAGGTCACTCCAGCCCCTGGGACCTCCACGCAGGTAACTAGAGAATCGATTTCTAACCGCGTGTAAATGCAGCAGGAGACCCCGCGCCTGCCAGGTCACTTTCTGCCCTCCCCGCCCCGCGCTCCTGGCGTGCTGAGCCCAGGGCTCGGGCCCAGAGAGGACACGTGTAAATCAGTAAATCGGAGTGGGGCTTTTTTTGTTTTTGTTTTTTTTTTAACGCTGAATTCCACGAAATTCTGCTCCTTTGAACTCCACTTTGTCCGAGCGGCTGTCTGCGCCCATCCGCGGTTGCTGGGCGCCTCAAACTAAACTTTAAAAAGGAAGGAAAATCGACCCGAGGAAGTGGCGATGGGGTTGCTTGTGTTTTAAAAATTGGATTTGAAAGAGTCTCTTAAAAACTCGCTCCCGCTCCTATTTCACACCTCGCTTTGAAACCACACACGAGCAGCCCCATACCGTGCAGCTAACCAGTAAGGTGAGGATCCTGGGATTCTTTTCCTTCCCAGTGGATTCGCGGTGGGGTTGGGAAATTTGAGGATGGAGTTAAATAGAAAATAAAAACGGACTCTGAGCAGATCCGCGCACTTCCGAGCGAGCCCCGCTGGGACGCTGGCTAACAAGGAATAAAACTTTGGAGTAACTTTTCGCGTTGAGAGCCGATTCCTTGCCTGGAACCGGGGGATGCTGATCAAACGCTGCGACGCTTCCCCGAGCTCTGTTGCCCTGACAAGGTAGTTAGTTAGTTAGTTACTAATTATCCACGTCGTTCATTGTTTCTTTTTCTTTAGCAAAATATCAACTAACCCCAGCCCCGGCCCTTTACTAACCCCAGGGACTTGAACACACCAGGAAAGTCTCTAGCCGAAGGCTGCAGTGTCTTAGCGTAGAAGCGAGCAGAGAAAATACTTTTCAGGCCGCTGGTAACTTTTTTACTCTTTTTATTCTGATGCCTAATTAGTTTAGCATAATTTAGCCCTTGCTAAAAACCAGCGGAAACAGCCAGACCGACCCGTGTAACGAACGAATCACTGGGCACGGGTGGCAGGACGCATTGGCGGCTCGGAGTGGGTTTTAGGGGCTGGTGTGGTTTCGAAGCGGCTTGCTAACTGGGGCAGGGGATTTCTGTGCAAAGCGGGGCTGCTCTGGGAGGGAAGCAGCGAGCGAGCCGGGGCCCTTCTCTCTCCGCGGGGCGGGGAGAGTTGGACCCAGCGGCGGCTCCCCACTTCTGGGCCGCGCTGGCGCTTGTTGCCCTGAGAGCTGGCGAGGGGATTAAAGCCGCTTTGGGAGGGCCCGTCCCGGGCGTTACCTGCACCCTGTCGCCCGGAGCAACCCGAGAGCCGCCCGCGGGCTGCCCCCTTCCCTCCGCGCGCTCCGGGGCAACCCCAACCGGCCGCACCTGGAGCTGGGGGGGGGGGGGTATTAATTTATGTCTATAAATCATCAACCGAAAGATACACACGGGGCTGCGCTGGGGCTGCGGGGAGAGGCGGGTTATTCATTGGCGAAGCTGTAAACCTGGGGGGGGGGGGGGCAGAGGAAAACCCCAGGCGCGGGTGTTTTGGGTTTTTGTTTTTGGTGGTTTTTTTTGGCCTTCTCTTATATAAATAAACACGCCCCGGAGCTGCCGGGCGGCTCCTCCAGCGCCGGGCTCGCCTCAAAGGGTGCCCAGGAAAGGAGCGAGCCCGGCCGGGGAGGGCCCGGTCCCTGAGCCCAGCTCCGGCCGCTGCCAGGCGAAGGAAGGGGTGAGAGGGGAAGGGCCGGGTCGGGACTCGCTGGGGGGATCGAGCTGATTTAACCCCCCCCCCCCCGCCCCAGCCCTGCAGGCGGTGTCGCTGCCCCAGCCTGGCCGCGGTGCGGGCACCCGGTCCCTGGCGAGCCTGGGGCCAGCGGGGCGCCCAGGGGCCGAGAGTGGGGCGCTGCCCTCTGACTATGGGGGCGGGGAGGACATCAAGGCCATGGGGGACCTGGGGCGGGGGTCCTGCCTGCGGGTGGGGGCGGAACCCCCCCGCACAGCCGGGTATCCTCAGCAGAAGCCCGCTGGGACTGAGGCCGTCGGGGACCGGGGAGCGCTGCGGTCCCAGAGCGGGACATGCACTCCCGTAAGGCAGCGAAATCCCCTGCCCCTCCGCCTAAGCGGGGGAGAGGCGGGGGGGGGGGGGGAAATGCACGGAGGCTCCCTCCTGTTTGTGTCTAAATCGGGTATTTCTAATGCACCCCGCTGTAGTCCCCAAAACCTACAGATCGCACGTCTAGTTACCTTGATTTAAATAATACAGAGCCTCCAGGAGCCCTAACCCTGAATAACCATACAGCATAACTCCAGCAGCATTCAGTCAATCTATCAGACAGGGATTCACCTACAAAGCTCCTTTGCACCCCTCGGGAAACACCCTCAGCTCTCTCCACACCCTCTATCTATAATGGACTATAATGCTCTGTGTAGGTGTATCTGCACCCCCTTGTTGTTTTGTGGTCCTTTGTGGGGCCTCAGTGTGGGCCCCTATTGTGCTCGGCACAGGGCTTGTATGTCATCTGCAGACACTTTACAATCTGTACATCTGAGACAATGGGGGTGTGGGGGGGGGGGGGAGAAGAAGGCCGATTAGTTTAATAGTCCCTTAAAAATGACTCTGCTTAGACACTGGTGAAGATGCATTGATCAGAACAGAACATTTTTCTGTAGTGTTCAGGGTATTTTCCAGGAGATTTGCATTCCCTATCTTCATTTGCCTTGGTGTGCTCTCCTGTCCTTTGGTCCCTGGGATTCTCTCAGCACTCTGGCTGGAGAGGCCAGGTGTGTGACAGTCCACCCCACACTCCTCTCAGCTGTTCATTACACCTGTCTCTTATGGTGTGCCCTCTTCTGAAGTAGATGAAGGTCTGAATTCTGCCCCCTTTCCCCAGTGACACCTGTGTAACACCCCTAAAGCTGGTAGGTTTGCTTGGACAATAACTCTGGGCAGAGTTTTGCCCTTTCAGTTCAAAGCTTGCCTCCAGTGCAAACAAGATCCATCACTGTGCAGCAGCAGCCAAAAAGGGAACAAAATGTTGGGAATCGTTAAGAGAGGGATCAAGAATAAGACAGAAAATACCATATTGCCTCTATATAAATCCATGATAGGCCCACATCTTGACTACTGCGTACAGATGTGGTCGCCCCATTTCAAAAAAGAGATATTGGAATTGGAAAAGGTTTCAGAAAAGGGCAACAAAAATGATTAGGGGTATGGAACGGCTGTCATATGAGGAGAGATTAATAAGACTGGGACTTTTCAGCTTGGAAAAGAGATGACTAAGGGAGAAGATATGATTGAGGTCTATAAAATTATGACTGGTGTGCAGAAAGTATATAAGGAAGTGTTATTTATTCCTTCTCAGAACACAAGAACTAGAGGCTACCAAATGAAATTAATAGGCAGCAGGTTTAAAACAAACAAAATGAAGTATTTTTTCACATAATGCATAGTGAACCTGTGGAACTCCTTGCTAGAGGATGTTGTGAAGGCCAAGACTATAACGGGGTTCAAAAAAGAACTACATAAATTCATGGAGGATAGGTCAATCAATGGCTATTAGCCAGGAAGGGCAGGGATGGTGTCCCTAGCCTCTGTTTGCCAGAAGCTGGGAATGGATGACAGGTGATGGATCACTAGATTACCTGTTCTGTTCATTCCCTCTGGAGCACTTGGTATTGGTCACTGTCAGAAGACAGGATACTGGGCTAGAGGGACTTTAGTCTGACCCAGTATGGCTGTTCTTAAGATCAGGCACACTTCCCTGAGGAAGTTCTTTTGCAAAGAACTCCCAGTTTGCTTTAAGCGGAGCCTTTGTGGTCTTGGTCATGTAGGTATCAGTGACATAGGGAAAGATAGCAGAGATGTCCTGGAGGCCAAACTTATGATTTGGTAACAGATTAAAATCCAGGACCTCCATGGTGGCATTCTCCGAAATGCTTCCAGTTCCGCATGCAGGGCCAGTTAGACAGGCAGAATTGCAGGGTCTTGATGTGCGGATGAGATTATGGCATTGGGAGGAGGGATTTAAGTTTATTAGGAACTGGGGAACCTGTTGGGAAAGGAGGAGCCTATACAGGACCTAGATTGCTAGCATGTAAAATTCAAAAGGTTGTAGAGGAGTTTCTAAACTAAGGGCTGGGGGAAAGCCAACAGATGTGGAGGAGCACATGGTTAGGACAAACGCATCCCTTAGTTGGGGACTTATTAAAGGGGAGATTTTATAACCCAGTAAAGAGGAGAGGATAGAAGTTGATAAAGTACAGGTGGGAAATGAAGGGAAACAGTCAAACAAAAAAGAGCCCCAATCAATTACATCACATAAAGGCAGATAACTAAATATTGACACAGTTTGTAAGTGTTTGTATATAAATGCAAGAAGTCTAAATGGGGATATTGATATAATTAGCATCACAGAAACTTGGTAGAATGACGATAACCAATGGGACATGGTAATACCAGGGTACAAATTATATTGGAATGACTGAATAGGTTGCTTTGGGGGCGGGAGTGGCACTATATGTGAAAGAAAGCCTAGAATCAAATATAGTAAAAATCTTCAAATGAATCACATGGTACCACAGAATCTCTCTGGCTAGAAACGCTTGAATAATAAGAGGAGGAAGCAGTAGAAGTACACTGCCAACCACCTCACCCTCATGGTGACTGTGAAATGCTCAGGGAGATTAGAGGGGCTATAAAAACAAAACCTCCAATATTAATGGGGGATTTCAACTCTCCCAATAGTGACTAGGAACATGTCACCTCAGGATGGGATGCAGAGATTAAGTTTCTAGACACCATTAATGACTGCTTCTTGAAGCACATATACCTGGAACCCAAAAGGGGAGAGGCAATTTTTGATTTAGTCCTAAGTGGTTCA